TGCAGAAGAGCTGGGCGAACAACGTTCAGCCGGTAGGCCTTGAGCAGCCTGCGGCGGGCCCCTGGGTTCGCGCGCGCTTCGCCCAGGGCCTGCCCGCCAAAGAGAGGACGAAGATCCAAGTCAAGGATCACTCCTGGGAGCCCACGCATGAGAGCACCGACGGCTGAGACCCAGGTTGAGGCTGTGGACGCCCTCGCCGCCACGAAGACACGCGCCCCCAGGTGTTCGGGCGGGGGGGCCAGCAGACGCGCTCTCGCCATGATGCACCTTTCTTGAAAGGGCGTGACGAGGCGGAGAGGCCAACCGCACTGGGTCACTGCAACTGGGCTTAGCACCTCTGCTGCGCCTGCTGTTCTGCACCCCAGGAGCCGACGCGCCCGGGCCGCTCGCAGCTCATTCAGCGCATGAACAGCTCCAGGGGCGGCAACCAAAAGCGGCGCCGCGTAGGAGAGAGCCGAGACAATGCGCGCTGCCACTTGGGCTGCCGTTACAGGCGGGGGGGGGGGCCTCCCGACTCTGCGGCGCGCAGCAGCGACTCGAACATTGCATGGCCACGCGCTAGAAGGGAAGAGAGCAGGGGCGAAAAGGTGAGGCCAGAATCAACGAGAACGCCAAGCAGGGTCTTCGATGTGACGACGGGGGCACCCACCGATCCTGGGTCAGGGCTCTCGCACAGCGCCATGATCGCAGTCTTCCCCGTGGCGTACTTGAATTGGGCGCGCGTGCGCCGCGCGCACAGCGAGCACGCGGACATGGGTTCATCAGAGACAACGGCGTGCAGCGCGCCCGGGGAAGGGCAAGCGACTGCGAGGTCGTCCGAGTATTGGACGGGAGGTAGGGGCACGGCGCCTAAGGCGTTCAAAATCGCTACCCTATCAGCGCGAGACGCACATGCTGTCATTTCGCAGCGCGCACGCTCCTGAGCTAGAGGCCATGGGGGCTCCTCAGCCGCCGCTACGTGGACAATCTCCTCAGCAAGTCCAAGGAGCTCCCTCCCCCGGCAAAGCGGGCGGGGCGGGTGCTGCAGGATCGCTGGCTGGCGCCGGGCATGCGGCTTCAAACTCCGCTAGCACGCGGCGGCACGGCGCGGGGATGAAGGAGGAACATCCTCGCGGGAGCACGTTCTCCACTTCACCGGCCAGCCAACGGAGCTGGCCATTGAAAACGCGCGCAGAGAAACGGCGCCCCTGCGCCGCCCCGGCTCCGAGGAGAAAAGCGGCGCCCAGGCAACCATGCAATGGAGCGCAGAGCCTGTCCTGGGTGAAAGTATCGCCCAAGATGAGCCAGTCCGCGCCAGTAATCCCTGCTGCGAACGCGGCAAGCAGCATAGCTGGCCTGGGGGCCACGTCGAAAGCCCAGCGCAGGTCCGTTAGCGCCCACCAGGTCGGCAGGTTCTGCGACGCGCGCAAGTGCGCATGGACGGCGAGGGCGAACACTAGCGAGAGCGGGTCTCCAACACCGCCCTTCTGCGCTGCCCCGGCATAGGCCCCCAGCTTGCCGGCATTGCGGCTGAGCCAGAGGGCGCCCTGAACGCCTGCCATGTCGCAGGATGCAGAGATAGGGCGCAGACAGTCTACCTTTCGCACAACACGTGGGCCACTTTTGCGCAAAGGCACCACGCGCCGCAGCGACCACATGGCGGATGTCAGACAAACGCGGCGGGGCAAGCTCATGAGCGCAAGGGTGAGGCGGCGGCCGGGCGCGCTGGCTGCGCGGACAGCTGCATAGCAGCCCCGAGAGGTCGAACTCGTTCCCCTTAAGGAGTCAAGCGCTGCCTCAAGCTCAGCTGGCGCGTACAAGCAGCCCGTTCGCAACCGCCTGTCGGCGCCGCCTGCATTCGGCGCAGGTTCGACAGCCCCTGCAGCCCGAATGGTGGACACGACTGTCCGCTGCACGTCCTGTTCGGCCGGGTCGCGAGGGAAATCATGATCCACCCTAGCGCGCAAGTCGGCCTCCACAGCCGCCACCATGCCAGGGCAATCCAGGGATTCCCCTGTGGCTGGCTGTACAAGTGCAATCTCGAACGCCTGCTGAGCAGAGAAGAACTTGGCGATGTAGCGTCCCGCCTCATTCGGTGCATCGCGTCGCAGCTGGGCATATTTGCGGATGACCGCCTTGTGGGCCGACCACGTGGCCTGTGCTACTGCCCGTCGATACGCGCCGTGGCCATCGTGCACTTCCGCGTCCACAGGTCTGCATTCGACGAACACCCTAGCCTGCAAGACATCATGCGAAAGCGAAGGGAAGCTGGGGTAGCCTGGCTGATCTCCCTCCGCCAGGACAATTACTCGACACTTCCACGGGCGGCGGAATGCGCCAGCGAGAAAACCTGGATTCGCGGCCCCTGCCAGAAATTGGCCTTGCGGTCTGCAAGACCGTCGGGGGGGGCCTCGTCAGACCAAGGGTGGAATTGCTCGCCGTATTACTAGAGAGGGCACGGCACACCACGGCAAACACCAAACAGCACGACACGGCACGGCCACGCAAACAGAAACGGCAC